AATGAAAAATGGTGTGTCTGATTGGTCCAGACGCTACAGGTATTATAACCACCCTGTATTCTCTGAGTAAGACCAGAACTGATGAATTTGTGTCAGTGCATTCACTGTTGGCCAAGTGAATTGCTAAGCAATTCCAGGTCCTTAATGAATGAATAATTTAAAGTATGGAATTTCCAGAATATTCAAATATCTAAATTAATACATAATCGATAGTTTTGATCAGTTTTTAATTAGAAATACTGCCTAAATTTAATGATCATTGAAATTGGAGCTAGACTAAAATTGAAACTAAATTAACTTTTTACCTTCGCCCACCAATTGGATTCCATCTGGGTGGATCCTTACACTGTCCATGGATGTCCATGATCTCTTCTTTTGCCTGTGTGTGTATTGTGGCCTTACCAGCATACTAACCAGACCAAGCTGTTAGTATGTGATTCACATTTCTTTCCTTCACCATCATGGTTCTGTCTGCATATTGCTATACTCACCTGCATTTCTGCATTAATCAACCTGTTCAATAAATAAGTGTTTGAGTTCACTAACTCCTGCTCTCAGTCAGGTTTATACCCTGACAACTATCACTTCATCATTACTATCTATAAACAATTATTTTTGAATGAATGCAGGGGCGTCGCACCCGTGGGGGATGTGTTTTAACACCCACCCACACTTTTCCCGGTGAGAGGGTTCAACACCCGCACTTTTTCTGCAGTTTTTCCGCAGTTTTGCACAAACGCCTTACTACAGTCGCTCCTCCGTTTCTCTGGCCGCTTTTGCGCTGCTCGTCAGTGAACAACGGCTCTGTGTAGTTAATGCTGCTCAATGTGAAAGCACGCACGTGATGGAGATTTACCGCTGATTACAGACGCGGCTTTACTGACAAGATGTGCGTTAAATATCGCATGCGATTTATCGTGCAGCCCTACTCAGAACTAAAAAGTGTAAAAAGAAAAGTACAATCCCATTCAACATTTAGCCACATTTCAAATCATATTCAATGTTAAAGTTCTGAAATTATTCTCAGTAGCCTTAAATAAAATATTTTTTAAAAATAAAGTCTTAGTGATGTATAATTAATGAGCACAAGCTTGATCCAAACTGAGTGAACAAAATATTTTATAGATTATTTTTGTTAAAACTTTCAAAAGAAGAAAGATGTAAAATACTTTCTGTAACAACTAAGGTAGTAAAAGATTTTGCACAATTAGAATTTACCAGTTTTTGTAAATTTAATAATGTTAAATAACATGTCTTGCTGTGTAGAATAACCGGCTTTATGCAAGAATCCATAGAATAGGTCCTTTAAAAGTTTGATAATTTCTTCAAAAAATGAAGTGTCTCTCTCAGCTTCCTCTCTTGCTCGCTGCTCATAATCATCATCCAGCTTTTTCTTTGCTTGTTCAAAATATTTTCCTTTAAATCTGCCACTAAAAACTGCTAGCTCGTTCTTTCTCTGCTCCTCTCTCTCCTTCAGGATGCGCTGTTTCTTTTTCTCAATCGCTCTCTCTACCATTTCAAGCATCTCACTGGTGTAGTATTGACCACCATTCCCAGTGACCATTTTATCAATCAGGTCGAGCAACTGAGTGACCTGTTCAGGGTTTCGTTCTTTATTGTTGAACACATGGTATCGTCCACTACAAGTTTTAATGAAACTGAGCAGTTTTGGGTTGTCCCGCACAAGTGTGTGAATGTTTTTGTCCTCCAGTCGATCTCCATGAGTGAACAGTGCCATGGTGTATATGGAAGATTCCTCACCAAAAATAATTTGGATAATTCTTACTGCTTCTGCTTCTTCATCTGTGAATCTGCCCAGCTGTATCACAACTAAGAAGACATGTGGACCAGGAGCAGAGAGAGGGATACAGCGTTTAACTCTGTCAATGACTTCATCTACAGTCAGGCTGGTGTCAAACAGACCTGGAGAGTCAATAACGGATACTTTTCTGCCATTTATAATTGCATGAAACTTTTCACATTGTCCAGTCACAGAGGAGGATGATATCTCAGATTTAAAAACCTTTTTCCCCAGGATAGTGTTGCCTGTTGCACTTTTTCCCACCCCTGTTTTTCCAACCAAAAGAATCCTGAGTGGATCGCCTGGAAGATGCAATGAACATTAACAAGAATTATTATTATAATATTATATATTATTATATTATAATATAATTACGTTTACAAACATCTATTTAAAAGAACAATGAAATATGCCTATATTAATCTACTGTAATACTATTCATCATCCACCTTTGTGTTGTAAAATGTATATATAAAAAGATAACAAATAAATAACTTACCTCCATCATTCAAATCCTGTTTTTGTTGCTTGAAGATCTAGAAATGATTTATATAATGATACAAATTTTATCAAATTTGGCAGCTTTTACTGTTAAAAAGATAATCAGCTTAGAGTGGAAAAGTGACAAAATACACACTCAAGCATACCTGAATTCCTACTGCAGCAATGACAAATATACAAAGTATCAGTAGTTCTGGGGAGAAAAATGCCTCCCAAGACTTTGAGGTCATTGTTGATGGTCCAAGAGAAGTGTCCCGCACAGCTAAAAAGAAAGTCATGGTATATATATATTTATGTATTTTTTGTTTCCTATCAAAAGTTTCGTTTACTCATAAAACTTGCTAAACTAGTCTTGCTTTACCGGAAGGATTACTGGTGTAGACTACCATCTACAGGAGACAAGATGCCACTGCATGATAATAATTGGATAATAAATGGAAAAATTGATTTATCAGTTGTTGCCTGTTTAGTTAATATAGGTGCACTGATATTTTTCCTAACAAAAAGTTTAACACAAAAATAAATTAATAGTAGTTTTTAAAACGTAATAACAACAACAACAACAATAATAATAATTATATTTTTTTATAATAATAATAATAATATTATTATTATTATTATATTTTAAAAACCTACTATTAATTTATTTTTGTGTGAAAATGTTATTATTATTATAATATAATTGGCTAAATAGTTGAGGTGGAAATGATGCCACATACACAGTGAAAATTATACCACATTTTATTATTATTATTTTTAATTTCAATTGAATTACATTTTAATTAATTATTATTTTTAATTTTAAAAATAATGAATTGTGTTTATATTCGATCTACAGTGGTGGCCAAAATGATTAGAACACTAGTATTTTCACCAGCTAAAAAAATGGTTTTAAGTCAGTTATTTCTATCTTTTGCTGTAGTGCATCAGTAGGAAATATCAGTTTACATTTCCAAACATTCATTTTGCTATTAATTGTAATAATCCAGTGAGATCTTTGTTTGCACAAGGCAGGAGCGCAGCTAAGGGGGGGGGGGAGTTAGGACGATTCTAAGGGCCCACGCACATTTGGGGCCCCCATAGATCTGTTTTATTAGTAGACTACTAATAAAACAGATCTCTAATAGTAGTAACAGTAGTAGTAGTAGTAGTGTAACAGAAATTATAAATGTATCTACCATACAGTTACAAATAAATCAAAATTAGGCTTATTTCTGCATTTCCAGCAAAATTATCTCCCCCCATTCACTGCATGGTTTCGTCCCATCCTACGTAGCCTAGAGTCACTGAGTGAGATCAGGTAGTAAACTGTCATATAAATGACTTTAAATTATATGTAAATCTCTTAGAACAAACAAAAAACAAAAAAGCATTGAAAACATGTAATGCTCTGAAAGCATTGAACTTTATGTAATTTTCTTCCTTTTTTTCTTTTTTTTTCTCTGGCAGCTAATAATGTTAATTTGATAATGTGAATATGTAATACCTCATGTTATAGTGGCATTGAATTAATAAAGCATTAAAAAAAAAAATTTTTTTTTTAAATCATAATTAAAAAAAGATAGTAAACTGTCAAATTAGAGATGTCTTCGAGTTCGAGGGGGGGGCAAACCGAGCCGGACGATTTGGTCAGTCGCACTTATAAACACTTTAGTTTTGCTATAGAAAATAGCTACAAATTCATACTGATTACATAGGGCAGCAGCAGGGAGCGAGTGATGTTGTCATGGCAACCAGATACACTGCACGCGAATTATTATTTAATTATTTTGCTACTGTTTGCCACACTAAACTTAGCAATAAACACGTTGAAAATACTACACAATAAACATGTCTGTCAAAACGATCTCAAAGGAGGCTTTTATTAAGCAAATCAAGGAGTGAATTACTCATCCACTGTTTAAAAAAAATACTTTAGCTGGGTTTCCACAGGCAGTGTCACAATTAGTGTATGAAGCTAAAGGTTTTTACATTGTATGCTGTATATGCATAGGTAGCTAGCAAACAAGGAACACAGCTGTTAAGCTAAAGTATTGGGACACCCCCTTCTAATGAACAGGTTTGACTACTTTAGTAATTTCTAATTTTTAGTTTTAAAAAAAAGCATATAATGCTGTTCTAGGGAATTGTGTGCTTCTAATTTATACTGATAGTTTGAACAGGACCATTTTCTATTCTAACACAACAATGCCTCTGTGTATAACCTTACCTTAACCTTAATCCTCTCCGTGACAGGAGGCGCATAAGGCCTGGACATTTTCTTTCCACTGCTTCCTGTCTTTGGCTGCTTATCTGGCTCTCTCCCACGTAGGCCACCCCTCTCCATCTCTTTCCTTTTCAGCAGTTTTACGCCATGTTGTTTTTGGCCGTCCTTTTCTTCTCCTTCCTTCTGGCCTCCAACCCAAGGCAATAGCACAGTCACTGGCTGGATGTTTCCTCAGCACGTGTCCAATCCAGGTCCATCTTCTCCTCCTCACTTCATACACCTCTGTGTATAAGGCAAGGTTAAAAAAAGGGGAAAAAAAGATTGATTCAGTCAGTGTGGAAGAACTTGACTGGTCTGCAGAAAGCCAAGTCCTAATCCCAGCTGAACACCTCTGGTGTGACTTTAAATGCAGACCTTGAGCCAAAAACTCATCACCAAACACCAATGACTTGTAGATACATATGGACAAATGTATTGGGACACCCCTTCTTTAGAACAGCCAATCCTAAAATGGCTGTTGCCAGCAATCTGCCTCGGAATGTAAACATTTTAGAAACATTTGACGATAATGAGCTTTTAAAAAGGTATATCGCCTTAATCGCGGGGGTATTATGACTGTTGTAGAACTTGTCGGGGACAATTTTGCTTTGATTAGCCTATATCCTTGTTTTCTTTAACCAGTTGGGCAAGAAGTAACAGATCCTCTTACGTCCAGTTTGGTTTTCTTTTACATTTGCATGTCTTACTATTCCACTCTGTTAATTAAAAGGCTGTTTATATGCATATTCACTAATTGTTTACAAGAAGCATACATGTAAGAGGCTGACAATTAGCTGAACATATAGCCTACTTGTTTAATTATGGATTATGAACAAGTATTTTCACCTGAAGTGATGGTTTAAAGGAATAGTTCACCCAGAAATGAAAATGTTGTCATTAATTACTCACCCTCATGTCGTTCCAAACCCGTAAGACCTTCGTTCATCTTCGGTACACAAATTACGATATTTTTGATGAAATGTGAGAGCTCTCAGACCCTGCATAGACAGCAACGCAACTGTAATGTTCCCAGGCCCAGAAACGTAGTAAGGACATCGGTAAAACAGTCCATGTGACATCAGTGGCAAAGCTGCGAGAATACTTTTTGAGCACAAAGAAAACAAAAATGACATAATTCTTCTCCCCCGACTTACGTCTTCCGCAATTTTAAAGAGTATCACAATGCATACGCACGGTTTCCCCTAAACAACGCTGATTACGTCGATTGCGCTCTTGGGTACTCTCCTAAATGAAGGAAGACGTAACTCGGGGGAGAAGAATGAACAAAGGTCTTACGGGTTTGGAACAACATAAGGGTGAGTAATTAATGACAGAATTTTCATTTTGGGTGAACTATCCCTTTAAGACTTCTCTCTATTCCTTAGTAAAAGTTTGTCTCAGCAGCTTTGTGAATTGGTTTTAAGAGAAAACTCTTAGCTAAAAACTTTTACTGCTATTTAGGAGAACTCTTAGTGGTAAGATAAAATGTTTTGTGAATACGGGCCCAGATCTCTGTGTGGAGCACTGGCTGTCAGACTCCTTGTGCAAACAAAAATCTGACTGGATTATTGTGTTCTAATAATTTTGGCCACCACTGTAGATCATCAACGTTGTAAACATTTAACAGGTCAAAGCTTTATTGGATTTTCATAGTAGTATAAGATTTAAAGTCTGCGTCTGAGACCATAAAAATCAATATATATAAATTTGAAAAAGCAGGGGGGAAAATGATTAATCTAAAATAAATGATGATCAAAAATAAATAAAGGCATGGTATTAGTTTCCGAGTTTTATTGTGATTTTCATGTAATAAAAAGCTAAATACTGTTAGTATTAATAAACAGAATTGACGTTGACACTTTTTGAGCATTCTGGTATTATTTAACTAAGTTACTATCATTTTTTTTTTTTTTAAGTAAGATACTGCGATTCTCTTTGCAAATGTGCTGTGAGAGTCTCCTACTAAGCCATATTCTTCTATTTAAATTACATGTGGAACGACGCTGGTTATTTGTGTTTCGCAAAAACAGCTTGTGTAGGTCAGTGGAAACAGGCACATATACAGCCGCAGCGCTGTGTGTCGCTGCTGAGCTCGTCTGCGGCTTTATCTCGACTTAAAGGAGACGCAACAAAGAGCGAAAGCAGTGGGCCCTGCTAACAGCGTGGCTTACTATAGCTTTAAGAACTTAAAATAGGGTCTGGGTCTTTAAAATTAATTTTGCAGTTATTATAGAGATGATAGACTAAGTTTTCTATTTATACCACTTACATTTGTGCACAAGGTTTGCAAAGAGAAGTAAGAGCGTCCATTGAAATATGTTTGACAATCGGATCAGTGCCTTTAGCAACCCAACATTTTTCACATTTTATGCCTCCTGTTTATTTGAAGCCGTTTCATTTTGTTGAGCATTTTTGAGGCGTCCTGGAGTACGAGAAAACAAGTTTAGCGGTGATGGAGCCGCAGCTCTCGAACAACAAAGAGGAGGTGGAGAATGAGGCGGCCCTGGAGAAATCCGCGGGGCAGAGTACCTCATCCACCCCGTGCAGGGCATTCAGAGGACGGGGCGACGGGTGTCTGACGACCGAAGGGACTTGCCCACCCGAGACAAACGGAGCTGCGCCGAGCGTGGCGGGATCCGGGCGGGTTTTACGGGACAGGTCAACGCGAGCTATTCCCGTGTGGAGGCAGAGCGATATCGGGGAGGACCGGGGTGAAGTGACACGCGACGCTGCGGCGAATCGCCGGAGGAAAGCGAAATGCCCGCGGCGCAGGAAGAGCGCAGCAGCCGCTCAGGGTTCATCTTATGCGGCCAGAGAGTTCAGCGGCGACTGTGACCTTCCGGATGAGTATGTGCGCCTTTTGAGTCTCTAATATACATGAGATGTTTTAGAGCACAATAACAAGGCCTCGCTTGTGCAGGTCCTAATAATAAGGCATGGCATTTCTGTGCTAATTTCACACATTTAGGCGTGATGCTGACAGACTGCAGTGTTTACGTTTGCAATAGTGAAAGTGTTTCTAAGAGAGTAGTTAGGCAAAATAAATCACAAACTCTTTGACACTGGAAGGATGATCTGAAAGATGAGACATGATAAATAAATCAGCCTGTTTCTCCGTCTTATGACAGGTTTGAAGAAAACAAGGATGCGCTGGTTAATCGAGGTACTTTAAATGGCATTTATTTTGGTAATGAGCATCTAAAGAAGGCTGTATATGGCCAGCCGTTTTATTAGTTTTCTGTAATTTCTATTTAAAAAACTTGACTATTCCAAAAGTGACTATTCATTAGATACTAGTACGTATTCTAATAGTTACATTTGAATTATGAATAACAGTTATTCAATTGAATTGTTATTGTTAACAAAGAACGTTTTGCCATTAAATTCTGTGAAGCTTTGTGACTCAAGTATACCAAGTATAGTATAGATATCAAGTATTCACTTTCGACTACTTTGTGTTACAGTTTGGCTAGTAACTATTAGGTTCTAGTACTTTATTTATTTGTAACTAGTGACTTTCCCCCAATAGTAACCATCTATTTTAGCTTTACGGGTAGTTATTTATTTGATATACTAGTACCTGTATTATCATAAACAATGACTAGTCAGAATAGCTGCTGTATAGTTAAAATTAAACATGTTACTACTAGTTATAATTGGGACACAATTTACTAGTAGCAAGCAATAGTAAGTAGGTACTAGTGTGTATTTAATTAGTACTTGTAAAACTGGAATCGATACCAGCAACCATGACTGCTGGCAACCATTGGAATACAAACTATATAGAACTATAAAATAGGTAGTGAATAGTTATCTGAATATCTGTAACTACAATAAGGCTCACTTTAACATTAGTTAACATTCATCGATCTCAGTATAAATTTAAATATTTACTAATACTGTACATTATTAAAATGAAAGGCTTTATATGTTAATATTATTTTATGGGCCTGAGCTAATATGAATGAATAATGAACAGTTGTACTTTTGTTAAGTAATGTTAACAAAGTAGTAAATGTGTTAAGGAACCTTATTGTAAAGTATTACTGAATATTTAAGTCACATATTGCCATAGAATTCTTTGGCAAAAATTGCAATATGTAACCAGTAAGAGCTAGTTATTATTGGGATATTGACTATTAGCAAAGAAATACATACTAGTATTTAATGAATATGTACTAGTGACAAATTGAATAGATGTACTCACTTTTGGAATAAGTACTAGTATCTAACATACTAGTAATTAAAAGTACAAAAACCTATAAAGAGATACTTGTTAGTTTTAAGGAATAAATGCTAAAGCAGTTTGCCTTAGGATGTGATCTGATTCTGCTTCATGTGACTGTGTTCTCTTCCAGCGGCCCGCGGCAGACAGGTGCGCTCAGGGACCCGCACCTGCCGGGGCTCGCCTAGGACTGTGTTTAAAATTGAACCAGAAGTGGACATTGACTATGGTACGCTGCTGAGCTTTTAATGTAGTAGACTGAACAGGTCCACTACAAATGCTTGATCAAATACACACCACAAAAATATATAAATAACTATAATGGTTGCACATTTTGCTTGCAGTGGATGCCAATAAAGCGGTCGAAAAGACAGGAACAAGGTGATTGCACATTTATCATGAGAACACATGGACACTTTCTCATGAAAGACCCCATGAAATCAAAGTTGGAGTTTTGTGTTTTATATGCATTTAATATGCATAGCGTTTCTATTCCATGAAAAAATGGGCCAAAACTATCTTGCATTACCTAATGTGTTCAAATTTCTGTCCTCCATTTAGCAAAAGCCGGTAGTGCATCTTCATTTACGCTGTGACGTCAACTTAAGGCTATTGGCTGTTTGTTAAAAAAAAAAGACAAGACCAGTTTCAATACTGGAAAAAAACAGTGCTCGTCAAGCCATTTCGTGGGGTCTTTGAAGACACTGATGGCTGCTAGTGTTTTGGAGTTGGTCTAACAAGCCCTATGTTTGTTAACTGCCATATTTTAGTGTGGAGAAAAAGGA